AACACAAATCCTCAGCCGGCTGGGGAAAATAAAGAGTCTCGTGACAAGCTTCCTTTCGAATTAAAATAATAATCATGCTTATTAGCTTATAAATTTAACACCTCAGTATGATATGAAAATGAACTAAATATGTTTACGTTTATCAATTGCCAAAGTTTTGCAAGAGATTTGCAAACAATTTGGGCTTTAACGGCAAATGAAGACTGCTCAAATGCTTTGTCAAAGAAAAGGATTTTTAAACCCTTATCCAACCATACAGAAGCGGACGATAGTAATTTAACGAAAGTCGATCTAGAAACTATCCCGCCAGGTATTAACTGATCTTAACAGAGTGAAGTTCAGAAGTTCATGAATCGAATAAAGCTGTTAAAAAAAAAAACATGCGGTAGGTGAAGTAATTGCAAATAATGCAGATACAGTAGAAGTTCGTGCAGCAAACGAAGCTATTGTTGATATCTGGCCATCTCCCACAGAAGAAGGATGTAATAAAACTAAAAACAAAGAAACTAATTCTACGAAACAAAGAATGCGACCTGTGATGCACAATGAAGAAAACCGAAAGCACTGTCCCTCCAAAAAAACTCAAGACCAATCCGAGAGTGAAATAAACCTTGGTACTTTAATTTTTCGAAACTGTGCTGCTAACACTGGTCCGAAAAGTTTTGTTTTAAGAATCTCTTAACAGCTTATGTATGAAATGTGAGAAATCCAATATTTACGAGATTTATTCATTTTGTGGTGAAAAATTCCGAAATGCCGGTATACAAAAGTTTCCTGGGCCACACTTTAAAAAAAATATTAAACTGTTACTCTAATCAAGAAAACTACAACTCTTGTCGTCAGGCCAAGAAACAGGTGAATAATTACCTATCTGAAAGTTAACTTTCGCTCGCCAACCTCTAGTTAATAGTTTGGAATTAAACGTTTGTTATTGGCGAAGTTGGATAATCTATCTTTAATCATGAATTTGCTTATTTTGGTGCAAACTGAAGTTTTTCTTTTTGCAATGGAAACGATTTTGATCAATCTTTATTCTTCTATTATTGTGCTTCGAGACCAGGGTTTATTGACTGCAAGGGGTACAGATGTACAGATTTTGGTGGTAGTAGCAAATAGTCGAGACTTTGAAGTACTGAAGTGGAGAAGGGTTTCGTATGAACAGTGGTTGATCACGAGTTAGTCGGTCCCAAGTTCAAGGCGAAAGCTGAAAATTTTCAAGTTATATATTAAAACAGAATATATAAAATAATGTGTAAAACACTTGAAAATAATTGAACGAACGGGAATACGGTACCAATTTCGTACCCTGTTGAGTATCCGTTTGTTTATTAAATGTGGGCCTTGTACTCATCCTGGCAACAGAAACAACCATAAAGAAGCCGTCGAGAATTATCGGCAGAGTTTTCTTTTCTATTTTATAGTCGTATTACCATGGTAATTGGTTGAATCTTTGTGGAGAAAGAGTTCTAATCACGTCAAATTTTATACCGTCGCATCCTAATAATGCCGACTTTTCTTGTTGAAATCATTTGAAAGTTCATTAAACGAAATTCTCTAACCGGCGTATCGATTGAAAGGAAAGAAGTTGTTATGGTAGCATTGTGGCCGTTATGCGATACTTAAGGATGTCCTTCTACAAACTTCCAAAAGACCTTAGAGTTACCATATTTGCAAATTTCATTCATTAATGAAACCATTGTTTCGGTTGGATTTTTGGTAGCATTGTAGGACTGGGGGACAATCGCGTGTATGAAAGTTAGTCTATCTTTCCCATTCCCGGCTAGTTTGGCATCGCGTATGTGATGGCATTTTTCATGGCAATCGGTTTTTCGGGGTCATCTAAGCATAACAGTTGAGCAAAAACAAAAAATTTAAAAAAAAGAAAAGTAATTAACAAACAAGCACAAAAAAAAGCAGAAAATTATTGGCCGAAAAGAATAAAATTAGTCGCATAAATAAAAACTGGAGGAAAGAAAAATATTTTTCTTTAAGAATTTGCAGAATCTTTCTGAGTGGACAATTTGGTCCATTTAACTCAACAAACTAAAAGAAAGTTTGAATTTGTGAAATGTGAGTAAGACATCGTGAAATATTAATTTACAATCGTTTTATGATAACTAAAATATAAATATTAGCAAAAATGCTTCGAAACACCATTTTATACCATTTAATCGAAGAGGATCCAATTTTACAACAGATAATTGTTGTAGGATGGAGAAGGGCTATGTTTGATGCTTCAAATTCCGTTACACTATATGAAGATGTGTAACCTTTTTGCATATATTTGCGATACATATATATATTTATTTACATTGTATGTATTTATTTATATTATGTTTCAAATGATATTCCTTTATATCAAATTAGAGCACAAAAAAGGACTTAACAGAGTTCCTCGATACCATTCTCAGAATCCCGTGGAAACTAGCACCTTGGCTTTGAGCGATTTATCGTCCTCGACTTTCTCCTTTAACAATTGCTGGGCGGTTTCTTTGAAGCGTCTTTCATTATCGATTCGCATCTGAAGCACTTTACAACATGTATTTAAGAAAATTTGTATAATTCTCAGCCACATAGCGCATCCTTATTTTATGACTAAAAAATAAAGATTATGTGCTATTATTTATTTTATTGGATAATGAGTTTAATGTGACTGCAGTAAAGACGTTGGACGTGGACGCTTACTCTCAGATGCTCGACATTTTTATACATGCGGCAGCTGTTAACACACAAATGCAGACTCAATTATTGAGAATTGTAAACGATCTTTTAGTTTGCTGCACATATTCCGCGCTACACCTGATGATATCTGTTATTGTTGGGCAGCTCTTTGCAAACTGGTTAGCATAATAATAGTAACACTATGTGTATACTTGATAAATAAGCATTAAGGGGACTGCCCAAGATTATAGAAGATATTTACAATCAAACTCTTTGAACTGTTCCTTGACTTCTTAAAGTCGATAGTTCGAAATTCCCAAAAAATACGTTGGTCAGATACTTTAAAAATGAACTAACACAAGACATACGTAGAGAGGAAAGGTAGAGTTTTACATTTTAACTAATGCTACAAATTGTAAAAACTGTTAACTGTAACTGTCACATAACTTTTTTAAATTAAAAAATATTTAATTTTTTTTAGGTAACGCAAATATAAAAACCAAATTTTACTTTTTTTTAGCAAAATATATTTCTCATCTGTTTTTCTTTACATGTTACAAATTACATTCACAATAGTGTTAATTTAATAAGTATTCGACCACACACATAAGAGGTGAAAACAGGATGAATGCATTGACATCATGCATCGTACACTCATTGCAAGCTTTAAGTCGTTTATACATATTTACGTATGGATGAACGTATAGCTTGGATTGTGTCTTCCAAAATTTTATTTCGGCTGCGTACAAACAATAACGTTTGCGTTAACAAAATTAAGTCTTGTTTTTAATATTTCAACCACCATGTTTATTCATGCATTTAATTATAAATATTATATCAATTTCTTTTAAAACCTGTAGGCCCTAATTGATTACTGCATAACGTCGTTGCTGCAACGCAAGAATAATACGAAAATATACACTGTAGAAATTGTATAATTGTCATATCACATTTTACAAATGAATGTAATTTAAAAAAAGAAGAAGAATAACTTTATATAAAAAGATTAATAAGTGGTTGAATTTTCCACTTTCCGGCATAATTTTTCATTAAAATAAATAAAAGAAATAACATATTTCTGTTTTTTCGACTTGTGGAAAGTAGAAAGTAGACTTTTTTTTATTGCTCACTTTGGCGATTTCCCTTTTAATAGAATATGAGTTCAATGACAGAAGTTGAGCTAGTGCTTTATTGCATTATAGCTTTGATTATTTTAGAAAATCTCTTCGAAGTCTATATTGCCTTACGTCAAGTAAATCGAACAGTTGTTAACTAAAAGTAATAAATTTGTGTATTAATATTCGCAATTTTTTTTTTTTTTTTTAGGTTAAGGTGTTTAAAACGTCAAATAAAGTTCCTGAGGAGCTAAAGGCTCATATGAGCAACGAGACATTCCACAAAGCGCGCAAATATGGCTTGGATCGTGAGCAGTTCGGAATTTGTAAATGTTTGTTTATGGATGTTTGTGTTATACCTCTTGAATTATATTTCGGGTTAATGGCTTATATGTGGCAAGCTGCCTTAAATTGGGTTAACTACTTTAAATTGAACGCCAATAATGAGATTATAGTCAGTTGTTTCTTTGTGGTGTTGATTAGCTTACATGGCTATTTAAAAGATTTACCTTTCAAATTGTATGGCACTTTTGTATTGGAACAGAAACACGGCTTCAATAAGCAGACAGCAAGATTTTTTGTATGGGATCAAATCAAAGGTTTGCTGGTGGGCAATATTCTAACGGTTTTGGTATCTGCCGCTGTGGTGTTCATAGTTCAATGGGGTGGTGAACATTTCTTCATATACCTTTGGGTATTTGCCGGTGTATTGTCGCTAATATTACTTACCATTTACCCCATATTTATAGCGCCTCTCTTCGATAAATACACTCCCTTAGAAGAAGGAGAATTACGGAAATCGATTGAAGAGTTGGCGGCCTCGTTAAAATTTCCTCTAACTAAACTCTATGTGGTGGAAGGGTCAAAACGATCATCACATAGCAATGCTTATTTTTACGGGCTATGGAATTCTAAACGCATTGTTTTATTCGACACCCTATTGCTGAATAAAGGTAAAAAGGACATTACAGATTTAAAAGACGAAGATAAAGGCAAGGGCTGCACTAACGAAGAAGTATTAGCAGTTTTGGGCCATGAGCTTGGACATTGGAAATTAGGCCATGTTACGAAAAATATTATCATCATGCAAATTAATCTTTTGCTAATCTTTTTTAATTTCAACACTCTTTTCAAATATGCGCCGTTTTATGAAGCTGTAGGGTTTGCTCCTGGCGTAAGACCTGTACTAGTTGGGTTGTTTGTCATTCTCAGTTATGTTATGGCGCCGTATAATGCTCTCCTGGGTTATGCTATGACAATCCTATCCCGTCGTTTTGAATATCAGGCCGATGAGTTTGCCCAAAAATTGGGCTTCTCTGAGAAGCTATGTGAAGCTCTGATTAAATTAAATCTCGATAACCTCGGGTTTCCTATACACGATTGGTTATATTCGTCATGGAGTCATTCTCATCCAACTTTGCTGCAACGCATGCATCGCCTCCAAGAACTTGATGAAGCTGATAAAAAGAAAAAATAATTTATCATTTGCTGCCGTAAATTTTTTTTTTATAGTTTTTCTAACCTCAATATGTTGCATATATTTAGAAAATCTTTTGATAAACAACTGTCTTTTTGCTACTTAGCTTTTTTACATATATTCGTTTCAATAATGTATTTTAAAAGTAAGATGATTATAAATGATGCAAAAATAAATTAGAAATTTTCTGGTTATACATGCCTTCATACGCATACACATAAATATAAATAAGAATTTTGAAATAAAAGGCGACTTTATTGTTTGAGAATGAAAGCGAGTAAATTCGCTAAGATTTCTCCTTTACAGGTGCTTTGGTTAAATAAATTTCGTATATATATAATTTTCAGGGGAGTTTAATAACTATCATTTCTTCTGTTGTACGCTCATTGTTGTATTTGTTGGCTTTCTTCCGCTTACCTATAAGCAACATTTTCGCTTCATTAGTTATTTCCACTTCCAATACTTTGTATTGTTGGCCAGTTGAAATTATTCGAACCTTGTCGTCTCGAAACCTTGAAAGACTTAATTCATTAAAATCGCTCTTTTTACAAGTTATTTTCAGATGTGAAATTATCATTAACTTTCTGATGTACTGCTCATTTCATTCGAAACTCTCCGCCACCATCGAAACGATGGGTGAGTCCTTTTTTTCCTTTTTAGCACTCGTCAAAAATTAAACATATAACTTGTTTGTTACTAGCTCAGGTTGTAGTACAAGCTGACCGTAGTTTGGCTCAATTGTGTCACTAGTTGTTAGTTTAGTGCTTTCGTTACTTTAAGTTACATTGCTTGCATACCGCTTCTGCAATCATCCATTCATTCACTCAACTATTTATTCATTCATTCATTCAATCATTCTACATATGAAATTGTTTACAAATCAAAGAGAGGTATAGTCAATTCAAAAGAAAACATATGAAATCAAAAGGAGGTATAGCGAATTCAATAGAAAACATATGAAATTGTTTACAAATCAAAGAGAGATATAGGGAATTCAAAAGAAAACATATGAAATCAAAGGAAGGTATAGCGAATTCAAAAGAAACCATATGAAATTTTATACAAATCAAGGAGAGGTTTAGCGAATTCAAAAGAAAACATATGAAATCAAAGGGGGGTATAGCGAATTCAAAAGAAAACATATGAAGTCAAAGGGAGGTATAACGAATTCAAAAGAAAACATACGAAATGGTTTACAAATCAAAGAGGGGTATAGCGAATTCAAAGAAAAACGTATCAAATGAAAGGGAGGTATAGCGAATTCAAAAGAAAAAATAATTAATTTTTCCTCTAAGTATGCCCTATTTTCTCTATTATTTTCAAAGTTTGTGCTGGGATTTTCAAAACCTTACACGCGGGCGCTTTTTCGAGTGATAAACAAACAATCGATAAAAATAAATATGTTTTATGACACTTTGAGCTGAGGATAAACAAAGAACTGAGAAAGCAAAACAAGCAAATAATTTCTAAATAATTAAAAAAAAATTTGCAATATTTATAACGTTTGCACTCCATCCGAATTCTGTGAATCCGGGTTGCTGCTATCCTTTCCGATTTCACCGAGCCGGAAATTTACCCAAATGCATTCAGAATCTTCTTAAATTTGGTTCCCTGCCTGACTTCTGCAAAATTGTGGAAGAAGTGCGCTTTAGTAAATCGTTGGCTGTCGTGTGTATTTGGATACAGATAAGATAAGCTCATGTCAAAAGTCGCTTTGCGCTTCCTGCGGCACAAGATTGTTCCTCGATTTGTCCTCAAAATGCCAAAAAATGCATTAATTTTAATGGTGATCATACTGCTAACTCCAAAACTTGTGGATCTTACAAGAAAATTGTTAAATCCAAAAAAGACGCAGCGCAATCCCATAAACCAGAAGTTTACTCTTTCTCTCGGAGTACTTACCCACACACAAATAATCCTAATTTTTCAATTTCTTTAGAGAGCTTCCCGTATTTGCTTTCGTCGACCTCTCAACCAGCAATCAAACGACTAAAAATTGGCAACAACGACATGTGTTCTGTCTCAATTCCAACCAAGAAAATGATAAATCCTGAAATCACTGCCTCCCCTTCCAACATAAAACGTCAAATCCTGAGACACACATCACAGGCAATCTTTCTTCCGTTCACGACATGATCACTGATCCTTTGACGTATCTCAAATCTCTGGTCATATTCAAAAACTACCTAATGTCAAGTCATCTTCACGGAGACAGATGTATTAATCTTTTACGTGAAATTCAATTTAGTTTTATGCAATTAACAATTACAGCTCTTGGTAAAACTCCCCCTTTTTTCTACTTACAGTTTGTTTTGCTTTCGCTCTATATAATTTTCGTTTTATTTTCTGTTCTTTTTTTCTTCATAATTTCCTTTTGTTGTGCTTCACTGGACATGGATTGTTTATTTACACCATTTCGGGTGAAAACAGGCCCTGTATCTGAACGATTAATCACGGGCTAGCTCTGCAAACATTTTTGCCATGCAAAGTGTGCTGGTATTAGTGGCTATGCGGCAGATGCAGTCATGTGTTCTTCTAAAGGGTTACGATGGTCTTGTCCTGACTGTATGAAGTAAGATTGATTTTGTCATGAGACTCTTTACGTTCATTGCCGGCTGAGTATTTGTCTTTTTCTGACAAAGAAATAAAAATAAAATAAAAAGAAAAGTCCCGTCGGTTGTCTGCTGTCTGTCTGTCCGCTGTAAGTCAGTGGGTCGTCGTCTGGAGTCCTCCCTACAGTGCCATCATATGCACACCCCTTTTCTCCTTTCAGCTACAGCGATGGCAGCTGTAGCGCTTAACCACTCATCGTGAGCAAAACAACAAAAAGATTACATGAATGAAGATACCTGATACTGCTGGTGCTGGTGTCGAGCCTGCGGTGGTGACTGTTTCCTTCGGCAGTCCCTGTTCCCAGCAAAGGGGATGCTGCCTGCCTCCAATCCTCGCACCGTACGAAAGGGAACTGGGGCTTACTTATTCATGCCAAACACTAACACACGATCAAGCAGCCACCATCGATGCGAGCAAAAGAAATCTCGTAACCTTGATTAGCTTATGTTTATCAACGTAAATAATTTAGTACACCAACATGGAGAAATTTACTCCCCTTTTTTTTCTCTGTGCCTTCTGCTTTAATTAAAACTGAAACATTCGTGTTTGATATTGGTTCGCGATTTCAATTTATTTTGCTTGATCTGCACATGTCTTGGTTTACAACTTTCAGGTCTAGTACTTTTTGTACTTAATTTTTTTATTACAAAATACTCAACAAACTGATTTCTTAAATTGCTGCTTTTTTCCTGGTTTACAATTTTCAAGTTTAGTAATTTTTGTACTTCATTTTTATTACAAAATACACCATAAGCTGATTTCTTAAATTGCTGTTTTTTTTTTCTGGTTTACAATTTTCAAGTTTAGTAATTTTTGTACTTTATTTTTATTACAAAATACACAATAACTGATTTCTTAAATTGCTGCGACGAACAAATTATCAGCAGGATTATAACATACAGATTTGGAATTTAGTTCACCAAGTTTACAAGAAAGAACTATTCGCAGTTTCTAGTGTTTGCTAGTTTGATTCTCTGCTGGGTTGTCTTCGTAATTGGATTTTAGTTAATTTCAACTTAGTTTATGTTAGACCTTATTATTACCCTTGAAGGATAATCTTAAAAATTATTTTTACTTTTCTGTTTTATATTAAGCTCGGAAACCCGTCCGAGCTTCACCAGATGCCAAACAGTTCTCCCCTTCAACTTGAAATTCAAACGCAGACAGACCTCTCGTGCTTACTTAATTTCCCTCTTCTTCTTCCTGTTGCTCTCTCTATAGCGGCTTGCCGCTACTCTCACACAAGAGCAAGCATAGATCCCGCAAAATCATACAATTTTGCCTATGCTTGCAAGAGCAAAAGGAAAAAAAAAGGAGTACCGCAAAATCACACGATTCTGCCTGTACTTGCAAAAGCAAGCAAAGATACCGCAAAATCACACGATTTTGCCTGTACTTGCAAAAGCAAGCAAAGTTACCGCAAAATCATACGATTTTTGCCTGTACTTGTAAGCAAGGAAAACAGAAAAGAATAAAATAAACATATACCGCAAGATCATGCGATTTATTAGCGGTACCACAAAATCGCATGATTTTGGCTAACGGCACGCCGTTATTCCGATACTTGCGGTTGATGCAGACCGACGGACACCCTACCCGAGGTTTGTTCGCGGCCGTTACAATTTCTATGAACTCTTCACGGAGATGAGAAATAGTTTCTCAATTTTGAGCAAAAATATTAATTCCTTGGGTGATAAGTTTGAAAAAATTAAGACTACATTAAATGAGTGTCCTTATATTGAGCCCTCATCTTCTTGGACAGCTGGTAAAGTTACAACTCGTAGCGGGGCGTGTAGTACGTCACCACCGATTTCTTCCAAATCGGATTCGTTGATACAAGTTAGGACTTCCACAATGCCTATAATGAACATTAGCGTTTCTGCCATTATTGAGTCGGTCGTTACTAAAAAAGTTACAATTGAGTTTTGGTTTAAGCGATGCTGGAGTGAGAAGGGTATCTCCTCCAAGCGGCGTCATTCATTCTACTCGAGCGTCGTCGCCTAAAACTAAAAAAGAAAATTATAAATCCACCTCCTCGTCTGGCTTTGTGAATAACGGTCACAATTCTGGGCAGGTCGCACAAGCTGCTTGTGCAAGCGTGGTTGCTTCTTCTATATTCTCCCCAACTCAAAACTCCCCACCTGGGATCCCACCGGTTATTAGAGAAAATGGCATTTGCTTGAAGGCAGTTCTTCCCAGAAAGGCAATATTTGTGTCAAGACTGGCAACTGATACATCTGTGCATAACATAAAAAAGTTATCTGGCGGCGTGTTAGCATTCAAATAGGCTCCTTCCCAACCTAGAGCAACCTCGTCTTTTAAAATTCTAGTTCCGACTGAAAACATGGATGTGTTGTTAAATAAACCATTGGGGCCAGTTGGACCCTTAATTAAGGAATTTATCTCTCTTGATCGACCCAGTAGTACTAAAGCGGTATC